TTAGGGATCAAGCGTGTGGGAAGTGTCTCCCTCGGAGACGCTGCAGCAGCCGTGCGGACCTTGTCCCTGGATGCGAGTGGCACCAGCTTCTTGCAAATTAGGGCTCCACGAGCAAGCGTTTGGGTGGAGGGAAACGGTGCTCGGTGAGGGGGGGTGCTGGAAAAGATGTTCCCGCTCCCTTCTCTGGGAAAAGTTGATTTGATGCTCAGCTGGTCCTTTTGGCTGGGTTTCATCGTGGACACATGATGATGGCTTCTCTCACCGTGCAGCAAAATGAGACACCGACCTCAGCAGAGGAGGAGCTGGAAGACAGAGGGATGGGCAAGCTGGAAGTGGTGGAGAGGGACCAGATTCCCAGCTGGTGTAAAGCAAGGGAAGCTTTTCAGGTGCTCCTGGTAGCAGAATATACCTGCTGGGTCATGCTGGCAAAACTTCTGCCAAGGGACTGGCTGGCATGGCGTTACGGCCCATGGGACAGAGGTTTGGTGCACGGGAGGACCTGTGGACCAAACTAGAGGAGAGAGGCAACGTCCCTCCTGACTCTGGCTGCAAACAGCATCTTCTCATTTCTGGGCATCCTGATTTGCCAACAAGCAAAGGCTGGTGGGGGATGGTGGCACAGCCAAAATGGTCCTGCCTTTCCTCAAGCCTGGGCAAGGAGGGGTTCTTGCATGACCCATCCAAAACTGTGAGTGCATTTCACTGTTGGCTGTGGAGGTCCTTCCCTCTCCCCCATCTCCTCCTGCCCTCCTTCCCTCTGTTTAGGCTGCTTTTCTCTTCCTTGCCTTTTGTTCTCTTCCTCCTTCCCTGCCCTAGGAGGAAAGTCTCATTTCAGTCTGAAAGGCAGCGGTGGAGGGGGAGAGTCATTTGGTGCTTAATGCCAGAGCGGCAGGAAACTTCACCTTCCTGGGGTGGAATTAAAAATGCTTGAATTGTCTGGGGATCTTAAACAAGAGACGCAGGGAACATTCAGGGCTTTTCACACAAACACGCGCACACACACACATGCAAAAGCCCACACAGCATTAAGGGTGTAATAGCTCAGCTGGGGTAATGCACTTGAACCCTCCCTGCAGCAGACGGACCAATTCTTCCAGTTCTTTTGAATATATATATTTTTTTTTTTTTGAGGCTGGAGATTGCTGCTAGTCTCCGGGGAGAGAGATGTTTGTCTTGCACAGAGAACGGTGCCATTTGTTTTTCGCAATTGCTCTTCCCTCGGAGCAGCCTGGCCCCGGGAGCGGGCTGAGGGCACGGGCTGGGTTCTGCGGTGCAACCAGGGCTCTGTGGCCACCGAGGCTCGGAGATGGCCCAGGAGCTGCAGCCACCAGGTTGCATCCCCCTGAGGTTGTTGTAAGGAAGAAAAGGTGTGCTGGGGGCACGTCTGGTGGGACGGATGTTCCTTCTGAGTGAATGTGGTCCTCAACAGAGGTATAACATGTCAATTGAGATGCCCCAGGTATGTGGTGGGTGCAGGACCTCCTAGAAGCAGGTCCAGCCGTGTTGTCTCACATCTAACCCACGATGTGGGTGGGAGGTTGTCTACGTTGCTGCCTGTTTCCTGTGTTTCCTGCCAAGTATTTCCCTTCCTCTGTGTGTGGGTGATGGCCTTTGCATGCGTGCCTAGGGCTTTGGGTGCTTCTTCACGCAGGGTAGGGGAAAACCTGTGCCCTCAGGAGGGCAACCTGTATGGGCCTTCTGCGTGTGGCCACGAGCGTGTGTGTGCCAGGAAGCAGAGCATGTTACCAGTGCGGTCTTGTGCTTCAACCGCATGTGAGGTGGTGTGTATAGCCCCGTCTGCATATGGGTGGCTTTGTACAGCTCTGGGCTGGGCCACAGGTGAAATCATATGTCTTATGTACAGAGATGTGTGTTTGTGATTGTGCCTGGGAGTGCACGTGAGCATGTGGGTGCTGGTACGTCTGTACCCCACGGGTCTTAGAGGCTGCCTGGGCACGGCATCAGCTCTCGGCGTTTGCCGTGCCCTCGCTCTAGACAGTGCCACTCTGTTGTCCTGCTCTGGACTGGTCATGGTGCCTGGACAGTTCACCTGAGATACTGAAGTCCAGAAAAGGACAACAGGGTTGTACCAAGTCCTGGAAAAACCCTCCAAGGAGAGGCTGGAAAGAGAAAGGATTCAGAAGGAAGAGGTGGTGAAAGCAGGGGGACAGGACCTCCCCTCCTCCATCCCCTTGCTGCGTCCCCACGTTGCCCAGTTTTTATTCCCCGAAGGGGCAGAGAGGATCTGAGCTGGTTCTGGAGTTGGGTGGCACTGGGAGCGTCCTCTCTGAACAGCAGCAGCACCTCCCAGCCGGGGCACGCGAGGCTGAGTGACCGCGCAGGGGCTTTGCTCATGTGGGTCTGTGCCTCTCCTCCTGCAAAGAAACTTCTCCTCCTCTCTGATGGTTCACCCATCCCCTGGCCGTGCTTCGGCTGGAGATGGCTGAGCATCTCCCCAACATGCTCCACCAGCCCTTGGCTCACGCTCCCCCTCAGCCCCTGCCTCTCCTCCTGGCCCGGTGGTGTCCCCAGGCACCCCACTGCCCCTCTCACTGCCCCCCTCTACCTTCCCCCAGGGAGTTTGCCAAAGAGCGCGAGCGGGTGGAGAACCGCCGAGCCTTCATGAAGCTGCGGCGCCAGCAGCAGATCGAGCGGGAGCTCAACGGCTACCGGGCCTGGATAGACAAAGCAGGTAAAGGCTGGTGGGCTCAGGAGTGTGGTGGGCATCACGGGCTGCTGGTCATGCAGAGTGGTGGGGATGGGGAGGGATCCCTGGGCATCATGCAGTGCAATCTCAAAGTTGTCCAGAGTTGGCCAGGCGCTCACGTGGTGGCATTGGGTGCATGGGTGAGCTTGGCCCCCAGACGCTCCAGCAGCTCTCCAGCCAGGCTGAGGGCAAGGACATCACCAACAGCTGATGAAACCTGGTGTTCTGTGGCATGAAACTGTCGTATTTTGAACATGAGGCATATTACATCTCCAGGGGATGCTGTGAGCATCATGGCTGTGGGCCTTGCTCTGTGATGGTTTCTTTTCTCTTGATGTTTGCTGGAGTCTCCTGCAGTGGTGGGCAGGAGGAAAGTAGAGCAGTGAACTGTGACAGTGGTTTTCCAGCTAAACCTGCTCCTGGAGCATTCTGGAGGGGATACACTCACTGGTTCCCAGCTTATGGCTCCCACCTGGACCTGGGTGAGGGGCTGGGGATGGTGGAGGTTTCCAGGCTTCCTGCTGGCACCCAGCCGGGTGTGACAGCCTGTGGGTGCTGGTCCCCAAGCTGCCACAGTCCCTGTCCTTGCTTGCCCCTCATGGGGATCAGCTCAGTGCATTCGGCACTGGGAAGGGAAGATGTACACTTTCATCTAGTGTTCAGACTTGAAAAAAGATGGGTAACTTGAAACAAGGCTTGAGCCCCAGAGCTCAGCTTTGGTCCTGGGTTGGGATGTTGAGCCCCAGACCTGTCTACAATGTTCAGCTTCTTTAATGGGTTTAATTACAGTGGAGGAAGAAAGGTTGATTAGAAGTAACTTTTCATTCTGATGCAATGTGAAGTCACTGCCACTTACCACCCTGGAGAATTTGCTTTTGGACACTTAACAAATACTTGGCAAGGGTTTCCAACCTAAAGCAACCACCTCCAGGCTGGGCAAAGTGCTTAGGTACAAGGCAGCGAGGTCTGATGTGCTCAGCCTGTCTTGTCTCCTGATGCTGAACTGTGTGTTTTGCGTAGAGGAAGTCATGCTGGCTGAAGAGAACAAAAACTCTGGGACCTCAGCCTTAGAAGGTAAGACAAGCAATGCCCTGCCCAAAACTCTGCCTGCCCTTCCTTCCGCCTGCCTGCAGCTGGAGGTTGAAACCCTCGAGCTGTGATGGGAGGTCTGGGGATGTGTCAGTGGGGTCTGCAGCCCAAGAGGGGTGTGGGGAGGTGGATTGACAGCATAACCCCCAAGATTTTGAAGGCCAGGAGATGTCTGGTCCTACACAGGGTTAGCTCTGGGCTAGGGTCACCTAGGTATCTCCATCCTGTTACCAGACCTGAGCTAGCCAAGTACTGATGGTACTTGAGGTCCAATGATCAGGCTACTGGCAGAGGTGGGCCACCAACACCCATTCCTCTCCCCTTCCCAGTGCTCAGACGAGCCACCATCAAAAGGAACCGGACAGATGCCATGAACCGTGACTCGAGCGATGAGCACTGCGTCGATATCTCCTCTGTGGGTGAGCGGAGACTGGCGCAGAGAAGACCTCTTCATCCAACCTTGGGTTAGTACAGTTTGGAGCTTTCCTCCCCAAAACCACTTTATTGAGTTGCGAGAATTGCACCCGTCATGCGGAAATTGTCACAGAGCAGCCATATCTGCTGGTTTGGCAGCAAAGGGGGCCAACCGCCCGCTGCCCTCTGTACCATTTGAAAACTGTGTGGTTAAGTCATCTCCCATGAGAGCAGTGTCTGTGAGCTGTCTGTCTTGTCTCAGGTTGCAGGGAAGGCTGGGTCACCCAATGCCTTCACTCTCCTTGGCTGGAGCACCCAACTCCTTCTCCCCCCTCTTTTCCCTTAGGTAACCCCTTGAGTCACTCTGGGCTCAAAGGTGCCAGGGTGGATGGTGCCTCCTACTTACGGCACAAGGAGCGACTCCTGCGCATCTCTGTTCGCCACATGGTGAAATCCCAGGTCTTCTACTGGATCGTCTTGAGTCTGGTGGCTCTCAACACTGCCTGCGTGGCCATCGTCCATCACAACCAGCCAGCCTGGCTCACACACTTCCTTTGTGAGTCCCTGGGCTTTGTGTGGGTGTGAAAGCACTGAGTGGGCAGGCAAAACCTCCTGCAACCTTCTTATCTCCAATGGACAGAGGTTGCAGCACACCCTCACTTGTTGCCCCAGAGCACATGGGGATGAATTCCACCAGAGTCACGCTGGTGTGGAGATGGGTGGGGAATGACCTGAGCTACGTTCATGGTTGATAAGAAAGGACTGTGTCCAGCCATTTAATTCAGCTTTGCCCTTGGCCCTGTGGCCACTGATGGCTGTCTTGGCCCTGTGGGCAAATGTGGAGGAGTTTTACTGGCCTCGTGGCTTTCAGGTCCAATGTGTTTGTCAAGAGGGAGAAAGAGATTGCAGGTCTCAGTTGGGTTTTTCCTAAAATTGTGAACAGTGGTGATGGAAAGCTTGCTGGAGATCTGTCCTTGAATGTCCACAAACAATAGCTGGAAAGGCGTGAGTTTGCAAAGATGGTGCTGGGCAACAATCATGGGAGAACTCCCTGGTTAGTTTTGGTGGAGAGCACGCATGGAGACCCCAGGCTTGAAACCAGTTACTGGAGCATCCCCCAGTCCACTGTGGGCCATGGTACAAGGTCAGGTCTCAGACGTGGTACACCCATGTCCGTTCTAGCGTGGTGCTAACTGCAGAGCAGCGTGGACAACCCCGTGGCAGCTGTGTGTTACTCCTGAGCTGCTGCGGTAGGGACAGTGCTGCTTTCTCAGCCAGGTTATTCTTACTCACCTTGAAAACGTCCCTGTCAAGGACCAGGCCTGCCCAAACCTGCATTAGCGCGCTCAGGCACGCCAGCATCCCAGCATGCCACAGTGTGGTACAGCAGCTGGTCGCGGTGAGAAGCATCTTTTGGACAAGGTAGAAGAGCCTCTTGCCTGCTAACGTTCATGAAATAGCTGGAGAAGCTTTTCACTGGTTCTTGGCTGTTTGGCTTGGTTGCCCTGGCCAAGTTCCAGCTGTGCAATGATTGAAATCCAGGTTGCTAATGTTCCCCTACAGCGTCGTATGGTTAATGTCTTTGCAAACGCCCCAGCCACCATTGTGTAATGCTGAAGAGCTGCTCTGCTCCATGCCGGCCATCTATAGTCTTCTGAAATCCCTGGTGCACCTACCTTGAAACATTAACCTGTGGGGTTGATGCTCTGCTATATACAATTTAGCTCCTCACAGACAAGCTTCCCTCATCCCAAACCCTGAGAGCTTGG